AAATGTCTATAATTAAGAAATGACCTTGTATCTTGTGAACTAATGACATTTTTAAAGATATAAGCTCACTCCCTTGTTACACTCATCAAGACTTTTTATTTGAGTACCAACATCAATTTTTCATAAATTTATATATATATTATATATATGTAAATATATAAAAAATAAATGAAAATGCATGTGGGTACTCAAATGAAAGCTCTTAATGAGTGTAACATCGGGATGAGCTTATATCTTTAAAATTGTCAATAGTTAAAAAAGTACAGTGCAATTTAACAAAAGTTGGATAAAAAAAAATATTTAACATCGTACTGATGCTTACCGCTTATTTGTACCAGGACTTTCATTAGAATTAGTCGCTAAACTAACGGATGATGTTTTAGGTGTCGCGGGATGGGAAGTTTCATCTTCTTCTTCGATAATATCCGGTAAAAACATTGTCTGCTTCTCTTCAGGTACTCTAATTAAATAACAATATACTTATTTATTGCTAATAACTTATTTTTCAGGTCGAAAAAAAAAAAATAAAAAATATTTACGTCATATTGGCAACACTTCCACGATAAGTTTTACGCTTATAAGCAGCGGCGGCTTCAGTGTAAGGCAAAACAATATTTTCCGAGTCAAAATAAAAATCTTTAACAAGAGGCGGGCACCGGTTCATCAGAGTATCAACTCCCAAGTAAGACACTTTTGTATGACGGTCAATCAGCCAGTTTAGCTCAAAGTCTTCATCATCATCGCCAAAAGGATTTATCAACTGTTCAGCCACCTTTAAAATAAATTATTAATTTAAAGTTAATTATTTATTGCAATAGAATTAAAATTTAAGTAAGTTGATACATACTTTCAGCAAGCCCATGTAGAAAAAAAATTGTAGGATGGTAAAAATAGGCAAGTAAGCATCCAGGGCCATTTGAAAAGGCTTCTTAGAGCCTTCGATGTACTGGCGACCGACTAGAGCCACTACGAAGAAACTATAGGTCGCGAGAGTCACTACCTGGGTGTAAACTAGAGGTATAGAGACCCAGTCGTAGCTCCAGAGCAGCCCGCATTTAGATCTGAACTCGTTGAACTCCTCCATTATTATCTTGAGACCCTGCGGGTCCGGCAGTCTGTGAGTCCGACGCGATTCTTTCAGCAGGTTTATGAACCACGTGCAGGGAATCCAGTAAGTGTTGAATTCCAGACTCGGCACTGACTGAAAGAGCTCTAGTTCAAGGGCAGTCATGAAACCTGAGTCGACGACATGATCTAGAGTCGGGAACCGGCGCTTCACTGCTGAACTTATAGATCGTAACACTAGGATCAATGACAGGTTGAGGTATCGCATCAATGACCTACGTAACATACGCCCGTATTCATCGTTGCCTGTCACGTATAATGCTACTAAGTGCATCACCCTGGAAAATTATTATTTTGTTAATTTTATTATTCGAAGAATTCAAAAAAAAATTTATTTTAAATTTTTTAAGAAGGAATAAAAATTTTTTTCCAGTGAATTTTTTGTTAGAAAAAAATTTTCTAGATTTATAAAATAAAATTTAGAATTCATAATTAAGAAATGACCTTATATCTCGGGAACTATTGAAATTTTTTAAGATATAAGCTCATTCCAATGTTACACTAATTAAGATCTTTCATTTGAGTACCCAAATCAATTTTTCATATACTTTATATATTTATGTATATGTATATATAAAAAATATATCAAAATGCATGTGGGTACTCAAATGAAAGGTCTTGATGAGTGTAACGTCAGAATGAGCTAACATCTTAAAAAATGTCAATAATTAAGAAATGACCTTGTATTTTTTGAAATATTGACATTTTTAAAGATATAAGCTCATCCTGATGTTATAGTCACTGAGACCTTTCATTTGAGTACCCACATCAATTTTTTATATATTTATATATATATATATATTACATATATGTATATATGAAAAATATATCAAAATTCATGTGGGTACTCAAATGAAAGCTCTTGATGAGTGTAACATCAGGATGAGCTTATATCTTCAAAATATATATTATATATGTGTATATATGAAAAATATATCAAAAATGCATGTAGGTACTCAAATGAAAGCTCTTGATGAATGTAACATCAGGAAGAGCTTATTTCTTTAAAAACGTCAATAGTTAAGAAAGTACAGTGCAATTTAACAAAAGTAATTATTTAATAAAGCAAAATTTCATTTATTTAGAGTTCACCAGTCGCGGAAGTCACATAGTGATTTACTCAAAAAAACTATCAGTATATAATTCATAAAAGCATCAAGCATTAAACTGATTTATGTTCAATTTTACTCTATAAAAAAATTTTCTACTCACTTATCAGGCCAAGGAATAGCCATATATTGTTGCCACCATCGTCCAGCAACATAAGCAACATAAAATCCCAGGACGAAACTCAGCGGTATAAGACTAACGAATGTATCACAATAAATAACGATTCTCTCGAAGGCTCTGAAAAAAAAAAAAAAAAAACCAACATTAGAAATTTTAAAACCAAAGAAAAAATAAAAAAAAGTTACCTTTTATGAGGTGTGGTTAAAGCATGTCTATAAATAACAGAAATAATGCCGAAGACAACTAAAAAGAGTAATAACTCTCGATAAATTAATTTGTAAAGAGATCCCCGCCACATAAAAAGAAGCCTGGTGAATCCACCGCTCGTCGAGCTTGCGACCTCGTACTGATACGAAACCGTCATTATTTACAATTATTAATTCTTCTTCACATGACTTATTTCTTCCATCATAAATAATCCCGAGTTTGGATGCTTGGTTCATCGTGCCATTTAATTTAAATTTTATTATTTACACCCCTTGTTAATCCATTTAAATATTAAAATACCCCCCTAACAATTATTTTTAATATTATTCTATTTAATAACAATTTATCAGTTTTCTTCTTTTAATATTTTTTACTATTATTTTTCCATGAATATCGCAAACTCTTTGAGCTTTTGTAAAATACAAAACCAAGTGGGAGTCGCTGATATCACGTCATTGTCCTCCTCATCGAGTTTCATTTTCAACCCACTTTTATTCATCAACAAGTAAAACACAATATCGTTAATATATACCGTCTATTAACTAGAGTACATATATTTAGCCACTAAATAAATCAATTCACTTATTCATTTAATATTTTTCACTTTAAAAAAATTATTTAAATCAATAAAATAATTATTTTAATTTAATTAAATAATCACAAGGTTAGTATAATTGCTTTAAAATAGTTGAAGGTTTTTAAAGAGGTAATTTGGCCCAGGCATCAAGAAGAAATACATATATGTATGTATAAATATAAAAAGAGACGAGACTCTCATTAAAGATCAGCCAATGTCGTATTTTTTATTTATTTAAATAAAAATTCAAACCAAGTATTTGCCAAAGCACGTGTTGACACAAGAATGCCTGAAGAAGAAATATTTCTTCTTAACTTTTCAAGCAAATAAATAAATAAATAAATAAGCAATAATTATTGAAGAAGAAATCTTGATCTTGATCTTTAATTAATAATTATTTAATTTTATTTTTTATCCTAGATTAAGGATTGAAAGTATGTAATACAAGGCTTGGCAATCACGCCAGTATTCACACGCTGATAAATATAGCCAGAGGTGCAGACACTGTCTAAGTCTCTAATATAAATATATAAATATAAAAATAAATTATACTGTTGCATATCACACAAATAATAAATAAATATACATGTCAATTTCTGAAGAAACTGAAACAAGAATTCACTTGCACTTATTATTAAAATTTCTTCTCATAATATTTAATTTTTAACATTTGTTATGACATTTATGCCAATGTAACTGTTGCTGCTTTAAATATTATTAAATTGAGGAAATTGTTGAGGTATGAAATAATACATTTATCAATCATTTTCAAGTTTATAATAACAAATAGCGGCGATCATTTTTAAATTCCAAATCTAGATCACTGATTTCTTCTTTTAAACTTTTTTTTTTAATTTGAGTATTTTTATTTTTAATCACTTAAATTTTTTTATTAATTTTTGTTATTTATTTCAGGCTTAAATTTAAATATAAATTGCAGTGAATAAGTAGAAGACTGTGCAGCGGAGTATTCAAACAACAACTGTCTCCTTCGGGTTTCGATCACTTACCACCTCTCATGATCGTTTTAATCTTTATTCTACATTACATACTCTGCACTATATATTATTATTACTTACGCTGAGAACACTAGACTTCTCTGGTTAACTAGCAAGTACTTGCTCTATCTCCTATATCTTCTTAAAGTTAACTGTCGGATGGCAAAATCCCAAATAAAAAGCATAAATGTCAAGCTTAAATGGACATCGTGGGTGTCGCAGACTTATGCTAGAAAATAAACAAACAAAGACTACTTTTTCTTTATTGTACTTAATATTTGTCATTAATCATTTTTTATTAATTGTTTATTGTTGGGTAATATAGAATTTGGAAATTCTTATTTTAGAAGGTCGATTTTTTAAGCGATTATTGTTACTGGAAGCGAACTATCGCTCGGAGCGCTTTGATTTACTTTGCAAAGGTAATTAAAAGTTGATAAACTTTCATATACTTCTATATTTATATATGTATATATGTATAGGTAAAGTTGTAAAAAATTGATTGCAAAACTCGGGTTTAAAAAAATTTTATACTCAAAATTAATCAATCAAAATTAAATAAGCCGACGTCTCAATTTTTTATTGAATTTCTTTATGAAAATTAATTTAGCAGATGTTTAATAATTTTAAGAATTTTTCTAACAAATAAATTACTGAATAAAAAATTGAAAAAAAAAAATTGACTTTTAGAAAATTTAATAAATTAAAAATGCAATTAAAAAAAAAAAAATTTTCAGAACAAATTTTTTTGTTAAATAATATTAAAAAATGGTCAAGTGACAGCTAACTTTAATATCATAATTTATTTACTTGTAATATTTTTTTATTTGTTATTTAATTGTTGAAAAAATGAAGGAAGTATTTTTTTTTAATTAATACAAAATTATTAATATATTTTTTTTGACAAAATTGATCATTTTTTTTTATACAAAAGTGATTTTAAATATTTAATGCTAAAAATGTAAATTTAAATTTTCGCGGGCTTTATAATTTATTCTTTAGGCCACCAGAGCGCAGAATAGTAGATTGTTATTGTTATCATTATTTTTAACCGCGTACTTGGCACTCAGTTGGCTAGAAATAATAACAAAGAGGTTATTTGATGATTTGTTTGTTCAATAAATTCCAGAAATAATATAAGTAATTAAAATTACGAAGGTTGAAATATTCAAGTGTGAGTTGTTGTCATCAACCAATAATTATTACAAATGAACAAAGACAAGTCCATTGAAATCCAAAAACAAGTGCGCGACAATTCGTCTGATTTGAGGACTGAATTTTTAGATTTAAAATATTGGGAAGAAAAAATGAAAAAAGCTGAAGCTGAATTAACAAACACCGCTGATGATTCTCACCAGGTAATTTAATTTATGACAATAAAATTAGCAGTTACTTGATCATTCCTTAATTTTATTTAACCAACAAATTTGTTCCAAAGACTTATTTTTAATAAACCACGTTTTTTATTTATTAAAGAATTTTTAATATCAATTTTTTGTCTTATTATTATTTTTTATTATAATTTAATTGTTTCAAAAATTATTTAAATTATCAAATACCTGCTAATTTAATTTTAATCTTTTTTTTTTAATAATAAATTAAGCTTAGAAAATTATTTTTAAAAAATTGAACGTATAATTTTTTATAGCCTCTAAAGATCGAAATTTTAAATAAATATTTCTTGCTATAATTTATTAATTAAAAATTACAATAACAACAATAATAACGTTAATTAATTACAATTTAATATTACAGATTTTGCCACCGGTAAGAAGAAAGAAAAGTTCTAAAATAAAATCTAAGACTAAAGAAATTGGAACGAAAGCTAAAAGAATAAAATCTTATGATTATTCTGCTTGGGATAATTTTGACGTGGTAATTTTTTTTATTTATTTATTAATCAACATACGCTTATCGACAATATATAGCAATAGAGAGTATTTAAAATTAAATAACTCTTAAATTAAAGAGAGAAATTAATTAGAATTTAAAAAGTCTTTGTAATTTATATATAAATGAGCAATTGTTTTCTTGATATTTGACATACATATATATTATTTTATAAATAATAAATAACAATTATTTTATTTATAAAATATTCAAACTAATTTTTTATTTAGGACAAAGCTTGTGAAGAAATAGAAAAAGAAAATGAATCTGAAGATTCTGGAGATGAAAGTCTTAGCAAAGAAGAATTAGAAAAAAAATACGAGGAAGCTGTTGTTCAAAAAGGACTTGGGAATAAGTATGTTACTGAAAAAAAATGGGATAAAGCAATGGCTTGTTACAATGAAGCTATTAAAATATTTCCATATGACGCTGTTTTTTATGCCAATCGTGCTCTTTGTCACTTGAAGATGGACAAGTAATTAATATATTTATTTTTAAAATAATTTAATTTTTTTTTAAATAGATATGGGTGATTCTCGGTAAGGATGTTTTTTGCTGTCCCAGGCATTGTTTTATTAGAAAAATTGTTATTTTGTTACTAAAAAAAATTTATTATGAAAGCAAAAAAACATTTCTATTTGGAGCATTGAATTTGGTCCACAATGTTTATAAACTTAATTAGTTAACTAACAATCTTCTTCAATGAAAAGTACCGAAAATTAATTTGTTTTATTAATTTCATCAAATCGAAGTCTGTCCCAGGCATTTTAAGTACAGTCCCCTGCCAGAAGTTCAAAGCCAAAAATAAAAAAATCCAGCGTGTTATTTTACCTTTTGTAAAGTTTATAAGGATCTTACTAGCCTTAAGTTAATAACCATAGGGCTGTTAGCGCTTTATCGGCATTTTATTTAGTGTTAAAGCACCGTTTGTACCGGAAATATGTGTCTGGGCCACTACAAAACTCAGTCCCCTGCAAATATTTTTATATGTAATTTATTTATAAAAATGGATCTATAAGTCTTAATATTATTCTAATTAATGTAAACATTCATTGAGAACTTAAAAAACTGAATGCATTGAAATAGTTTGCTTGATTTTTCTCAATTTGATAAGAAAAAAACAGTCCCCTGTCATGTTACATGGCACAAGATACACAAATATCGAAAAAGCAAAAATTAATTCGACTGTTTATTTATTATGATTAAGTTAATAGTTTTGTAGCCCTTGTTAATTTTTTTTCTAATAAAATCAAAAATAATTTAGTCGGACAACTTTGTATAGATTTAAGACGCCCTTACAGAGAATCACCCATATACTTAATAAATAATGGGCATTATTTTTTTTTAGCTTGTATTCAGCAGAATCGGATTGCACAGCAGCATTACAGCATGACGAGCATTACGTCAAGGCGTATCACAGACGTGCGACAGCCAGGATGGCTTTAAAACAGTATAAAGAAGCTATAAGTGACTTGGAAAAATTGTTAACGCTGGAAAAAGATAACAAGGAAGCTAAAAAAATGCTTGAGACTGCACGAAAGTATCTTAGTAAGTCAGATGTTTCTTTGACGGCTGAAGTCTCTTCGTTAGATAAAAAAAATCAAGCTGAGAAAGAAGAAAGAAACAATAAAATTATTGATGAAAAATTTAAAGATGAAAAAGAAGTCAAAAATAAAGTTGAAGAAAAAAAAGAAAATAAAATTAAAGAAAAAATAGAAAATAAAATTGAAGAAAAAAAAGTGCCTGAATCTAAGTCAGTAATTAAATTCCGTGAATGGTTACCAATAATTGACAAAGATGTAGATATAATTAAACCTATCAACAAACTACCTCATCAAAGAATAAAAAAACCACTTAAATCTATCCCGATAAATATTACCGATTTAACTAAATGGTCTGATGGTAAAGAGTCTCCTCAGTCTTTAAAAGTATCTACAGGTACAGAGTCATTGAACAAAGTAGTCAATAATAATAATAATGAGGTTGAGAATAAAAATATTAATAATAAAAATGAGATCGAAGTGATTCCTGCAGTCCCACGTACTTCTGTTCAATTCTGCATGACTTGGAGGAAGAATAAATCACCAGAGTTTCGCTACAAGTATTTGAAACAATTAACTGCCGACAGTATTCCCACGTTATTTCAAAACTCCATGGAATCTGATACATTCAGTGAAATATTGACGATCTTAAAAACACATTTCATCGATCACGGTGATCCTGTTTATGGTTACTTGAAGTACTTGAGTGAAATAAAGCGGTTCAGGGCTCTGATAATGTTTTTGGGAAAAGAAGAAAAAGAATGTGAGTTATTTACTTACTTAACTTAATTAAAAATATACAGAAAGAAAAATTTATTGACTGAAGAACAAAATTCTTGGTTAAAAAAAAAAATTCTATTCTTGGTGGAAGTAATTTTGTCTTGATTCAAATTATCATAAATATTTGATAGAATAAATTTTTATATTTGATCAAGATTTTTAGATTTGAACAAGATTTTTTTTACTTAAATAAATTTTTTTGGATTAAGATACGTAAGGTAAAAGACCCAGTTATTGACACTTGCAATTTCATTTTAATTAAATAAAACATATCGACTCTAATAAATTAATAAATATTATTTTTGAATTATAAATTTTGAGATAATTCATTTTTTAAGAACATTTTATTTTTTTAATTAAAATAAAATTTCAATCGTCCATCAACTAGGCCAGTGTCAATAACTCGGTCTTTTACCTTATTTCTTAATGCAAGAGAATTAAGTTGGAATAAGTGAAATTTCTTGTCAAAAAAAAATTTTTTTTTCTCAAGAAAATAATTAGAAAAAAAATATTTTCTTGGTTCAAATCAACCTTTTTTTCTTTAATTAAAAAATACTAAATTACTATTTTTTTTTTTTTTTTTTTGTCAGTTTTTAAAAACATTTTATTCGATTACTGCAAATTTTCATCCTTGAAAGGTCCAAAGCAACTGAGACAATTACTTTTAATTAAAATAAAATTTCAATCGTCCATCAACTAGGCCAGTGTCAATAACTCGGTCTTTTACCTTATTTCTTAATGCAAGAGAATTAAGTTGGAATAAGTGAAATTTCTTGTCAAAAAAAATTTTATTTCTTCATGAAAATAATTAGAAAAAAAATATTTTCTTGGTTCAAATCAACCTTTTTTTCTTTAATTAAAAAATACTAAATTACTATTTTTTTTTTTTTTTTTTTTTCAGTTTTAAAAACTTTATTCGATTACTGCAAATCATCCGAAGGCCAAAGCAACGAGACAATTACTGACCTGCGTAAAAAATACGAACTCTAATATACCTCAACATAAAAAAAAAATTTTTTTTTCTTTCACAACATTATCTTTGATTTTTTTTTTTACAATTCAATTTAAAAAGATTATTTTCATCATTTATATTTTAAGTTTAAAACACACACAAGTTAAAATAATATTGAACAATTGAGCTGATAAGTATTTAAATTAATTATCAAGTTAAATTATAAGAGTACGAAAGCGCATGTGCAGTGTATATGGTGTTACTGAGTCATTGGTATCTTGAAGCACATTATCACAGCATTCCTCAAATAAGCTGCTAATTTAAATAAATTTATCAGTATATATTTATCTATAAAATTGTGTAAAGTTTAATTATTTTTTATTTTGTATTTTGTAATATTATTATATAGCTCAGCTTAATTATTTTATTCGCCGCATAGAGTCAGGTGGAAAGCTGTTATGTACCAGAGTATTAGTGGGGTGTCCAATGGTAGTAATGTGTAATATATATTTTTTATTACTACCTCGCGGCATTTAAACACACTAGTGTAAGTGTAAGTGTTTATCTTTCAACAAGGCGCGTACTCCCATTTACTTCGAATACTTTGAGTGGTAAACACTGATTTGATTGATGTTTTTTTTTTAATTATTTTATTTAAATAACAATGAAATATATTGTCGCACTTGATGTCGGTACTACGACTATTAGGTGTCATATTTTAGATAATAAAGCTGTTACAATTGCTTCTGCTGCTGAAAAGGTATTATATTTTTTATTCTATTTATTTTTATATTTAATTGATAAATTATTTATTTATTTATTTAATACTAAGTTAGCCGATAAAAATTAAATTAACCGACATTTGAAAATTTTGATTATTTATTTGATTAAAAAATAATTTTTAAAAAATTAAAACAAAAATTTTCACGTGTAGAAAATTTTTTAAATTATCTGTGAAATTTTTTAAAAATAGTTTTTTAGTAATCATTTTTTGAATAAAAAAAAATTCTAAAAATTTTTAATTGTTTAATTATTCATTTAAAAATTAAACTGCTGAATGATATTATTTGTTGATTTCAAAATTTTATTTAAATTATTTAGTGACTTTTTTTTTTATTGCAGAAGTTACAAAATAAAAATGAGTAATCAAGGCAATAAAACGTGACTGTTAAAATTGCTGTTACTACGACATAAAAATAATAATAATATTTTTTACCTGTGATTTAAAATTATTAATGAATTTTTTTTGTTAAAGGTCGAGTTACTTTATCCAAAAGCCGCGTACGTTGAAATAAATCCGGATCAACTTTGGGAGTCAATTATTAAAGTTTTGAAAGATGCTGTTCATGGTAATTAAAATTAATTTTTAATAAAAATTTTTATTTTCGTTCTTTAATACTTAATTAATTGTTTTTTTTGGGTAATATTTTGAAATTTTTATTTGCATTTATAATTTGATAAACAAATATAATTATAAAATTTTGCAATACAGATTTTTTTATATTGATAAGAAATTTTATTGATATTATAAAAAATCATTTATGATCCATAGTTACATAAGTATAGATAATAAATGATAATACTGTACAATCATAATTAATTGGGATCATTACAAATTGCAGCGAGTAAAATAGACGTGAAATTAATAGCGTGTCTTGGAATATCAACCCAACGTAGCAGTTTTATCTCGTGGAACTTTGAAACGGGGAAAAATTACCACAGGTAATTGACACAATATATTATTACCACATTTTTTTTAATAATAATAATAATTTCTAAAAGAATAATAAATATTTGAATTTTATCCGAATTATAAATATTTGAATTTTACATGAATTGGTATTAAATAATTAAAATTAATTGTACGTATTTCATTAGAATAATAACATGGAAGGACTTGAGAGCAGACTCAATGGTACGTGAATGGAATTCATCATTAACAATGAAGAGTTTAAGAATGGGTTCTCATATTCTCTATACATTGTCACGCAATAAAAGATTTCTCGCTGGCAGCGTATTAAAATTGATGAATACTCAGGTATATATTATTCATTTATTTATTATTTACAAAAATCATCATCAGTCTAAATTTTATTACACAATAAAAAATCCAGAGCACTAATAAAATCTTAAATTAGTCTTGTAAAAAAAAATTAATAAAATTTTTAGAATAAATCAATTAAAAATTAACTTAATTAATATTTTAATTTTCAGACGACCTTGCGCTTGATGTGGGTCTTGCAAAATATTCCTGGACTCCGAGAAGCTGCTCAGAGTGGAAAAGCTGTTTTTGGAGGCGTTGATTGTTGGCTTCTTTATAAATTAACTGGTTAATAAATTTTTTAATATTCTACATTATTAAAAGAATAAGAAGAAGTTTATGGCCATTAGAAAGGTCTTGTACTTAGGCTGCATTCGAAAATGCTCTATCTCTAGATACATAATTAAGAAATGACCTTGTATCTTGTGAAATATTGACATTTTTGAAGATATAAGCTCATCCCAATGTTATACTTATCAAGACCTTTCATTTGAGTACCCACATCAATTTTTCATATATTTTATATATATTTTATATATATTTTATATATATTATATATATATATGTATATATAAAAAATATGTCAAAATGCATGTGGGTACTCAAATGAAAGGTCTCGACGAGTGTAACATCGGGATGAGCTTATATCTTTAAAAACGTCATTACATTAAATTAAACATTTAATGTAATGACGTTATATTAAATATTTAATGAACTAATTTAATAAATTTTAGGCAAACACATAACCGATGTATCAAATGCCTCAGCAACGGGACTGTACGACCCATTTACGATGAGCTGGGCGCAATGGGCGATGAATTTATTTAAAATACCCTCGACAATGTTCCCAAAGGTCGTTGACAGTGCAGGAGATTTCGGTACTATTCCAAAAGATATTTTAGGTGTATCAATACCTATTAGATGTTGTGTATGTATTATTTATCAGAATTATTCACAAGATAATTTACTTAGTTATTGTTTATTGCAGATGGCTGACCAAGCGGCTTCGTTATTTGGGTCAACTTGTTTCGAGCCAGGTGATCTTAAAGTAACTATGGGAACTGGTAGTTTTTTAAATGTCAATACAGGCAAAGAGCCTCACGCGTCAGTTGCTGGGCTGTATCCTCTGGTGGCCTGGAAAATAAATTCTGAGATTGTTTATATGGCTGAGGGGGCTTCCAGTGATACTGGAACTGTTATCGAATGGATTAAATCAATAGGTAATATAATTTAGCTTGTATAATTTATTTTGGTGAATTTATTTTATGTAATTTTTTATGCAGGGATTATTAAGGATCCAAGTGAAATGTCTGACTTGGCAAATTCTATTGAAGATTCTGATATTTATTTTGTACCTGCGTTTAGTGGATTGCAAGTGAGCTATTTTTAAAATTGAATAAATAAAATTTTGCTTTATTAAATAATGAATTTTGTTAAATTGCACTGTACTTTCTTAATTATTGACATTTTTAAAGATATAAGCTCATCCCGATGTTACACTCATCAAGAGCTTTCATTTGAGTACCCACATTCATTTTTGATATATTTTTCATATATACATATATATATATAATATATATAAATATATGAAAATTGATGTGGGTACTCAAATGAAAGGTCTCGATGAGTGTAACATCAGGATGAGCTTATATCTGTAAAAATGTCAATAGTTGAAAAGATACAAGGTCATTTCTTAATTATGTATCTATAGATTAATAGATTATATTAATAATTATAAATACTTAATAATATAGATTATTAAATTATTTTTTACATTATAATAGGCACCAATAAATGATCAAGCAGCAGCTACAGGGCTAATTGGGCTAAAACCAACTTCAGGACGTGCTCATATTGTCCGATCAGTACTGGAAGGCTTAGTATTTCGTATTCTACTTTTGTACGAATCATTATGCACAGAAACTAGTCGTAACTACAATAGCATTAGGTAAAAATATATTTTTGTAACTTGAATGAATTATCAGAAATAATGAGGTTGACAAACTAACGCTAGCATCAAAACAACATTTAAATTCTCATTGTTTTTAATTTATTCAGATCTTTTATTTATAGACTATAAATTATTATTTTTTATTCAGGGTAGATGGAGGAGTATCCCAGAGTGATTTTATATTACAATTATTGGCTGACCTTACTGGTTTGCCAGTCGAACGGGCGATGAGTCCCGAAATCTCTATACTCGGCGTTGCTTTTCTTTCCGGTCTTCAGTGTGGTAACTATCTTTAAATTATTTATATTTTTATTTTTATCTAGATGTTTACCTTGGTATATTTAATTTTTTTTTTATTTTTAGGTATTTGGGAGACTCGCGAAGAAGTGTGTAAATTAAGACAAGTTGATAGGGTTTTTCAGCCAGATATAAAACGAGGCAAGAATTATTTATCAGTAGTTCATCAATGGAAACTTGCTGTACAGCGATTTAAAAATTGGTATTAATTTTTGCGATCCATTTTTAAGTTTTTTTAATAATTTTTTTTATAATTAATTGTAGACATTTATAGACGTTAGTTTTTTATTTTGCTTATTTTTGGTCATAGAATATTTTTTATTTAAGAAGTTTTTAAAGCTTTAAAAGTTACTTTTTTTTATGTACAATTTTAATTAATATTTATACATATATATGTATTCATCTTCCAAATATGTAGATTTTTTTAATTTTCAAATATCAAAACAAAAAATTTTTATATAAAAAAAATATATTAAAATTTTTCTACAAAAAATAATATTAAAATTGTTTAAAAAAAAATATTTTAAACTTTTTATATTAAAAAAGAAAGTGGCCAAAAATATTTAAAGTTACCAAATATGATCCTATAAAAATAAATAAAAATTCCATAATAATTAATTAAAAAAATGGATCGCAAAAATAAAAACTAAACAACGATAAAGTACCTGGTTAAAAAAGAATTGACCCAGGTGGTCTATATAATTTGTAATTTAAATAACAAATTTATATATTTATACACAACAAACATATATATATATATATATTTTTTTCAATAATTTTTACAATGTGATTTTCAGTGCCTTAAAGCAATAAGATTGACTCAAAGCTAGAATGAGATTTAAAGCGAAGAAATAAATTATTAACAAATAATCAGTATAGTTATTTTAAGGTAAAAAAAAAAAAAAAAAAAAAAAAAAAAAAAATAACAAATCTAAGATCGATTAATGAGCCGAAGGTATGAGTAGTAATTAAATCAAAACACTGAGACCGGTACTCATTATACTTTACTTGGAGGATAATCAAGTGAATTGATATGTGTAAAATATGTATAATGCTACCACAAAGAAATAATGTAAATAACGATGGCAACGATGAAGTTGCTGTTTTAACATTTAATATTATTAGAAATCAATTCATTGTTGCCGCGACACGCAACGACGCTCTTGCTCGTAATAGTGATAGTGATAGAGGCTGTGATGTGATATAATTTAACTATTTAATGGTTTGTTAAATTTCTGTGCACTTCCTGGTCTTGCTTGACCAGTCTCTAAGTGCTTAAATTTATAGAATCGTTAATAAATACACCATTACTCAAAGAAAGCGAAATCAGAGTTACTTTTGGTGTGACAGAGTCTGGTTTTACAGGTTTTAGCTAACTGGAATCGCTGACACAAAATGGTATGTAACATTTCATTTCCGAGTGCATGAGACATGTCCCATAAGTACTACAGATATATTTTTTTTATTATATCTTATTGCATCTCCCTACCAACTGGTTTTTGTGGTCCAGCGGCCTTCAATCTTTTCTTCTTCTCTACTCTCTTCATATTCATTCTGTGCTTCTCTGGTTGGCTACACCAGAAATACTTACTGTCTTTTTATTTAAATTAAAATAATTAATTTTCAAGCCCGGAAATTTTTATTTCTCAATTTTATTTTACTTAATTATTTTTTTATTGTAATTTATAATTTGTTGAAAGGTTTTTTTTGGGATTTTAAAATGTCTAACTACTTGAATATTTTTAGTAATTACTTAACATGTTATAAGTTTATCATTGTTTATGTGATTTATTTTTTATTGATCTGTGATTTTTTTTTAGGCGACTGAAATTGTGGTAGATATGGTCGCCGACCAAGAGTCGGATAATAAAGTTGATCATCCTGTGGATGATAAAGTTTCTCAAGTGAATATTAATATTGAAGAAGATACCAGTACTGCCAGTAAGTATTTTTTTTTTTTTTATTAATTTATTTATTTATTTAAAAAGAACAATGAATTACATTTTCATGTGTAGAATGTTTAGTTAATATTTATTTATTTATTTATTTATTTAGTTAATATTTATATACAATAAATAAAATAATATCTGTAAAGAGAAGATAGATTTAAAAGATTTGAAAGAAGAAAAAAACAAAAAAAAAATTTTATTGATTGATAATATAAAAATTAAGTTAGCCGACATTTAAAAATTTTTAGAATTTTATTTTTATTGAAAAAAATATTACAAAAAAATTTATTAATTTAATTTAATTTAATTACAAAAAAAATTACTTAATTTAATTTTTAAGTAAATTATTTATCAGAATAATAAAAATTAATCTGGAAGGTCATCAAAAAATTTTTCTTATCATAAACAGAATTGAGTCGTAAATTATCTTTCATAATTACACTTGGACATACGTGTAATTATTTTGTCTTAATAATTATTAACTATCAACTATTTTAAAAAGTAGGTACGTATTAAAAATTAAAAAATACTAATTATTTTAATAAACAAACAAGGAAGTAATGTGAGGCATTTTTAAAAAATCAATTAAATTATTGATTGTCAAGGGTGATTATTTATTGATACCCTTGTTACGTTAACTGGATAATCGATGCTAAGTGGTCAAGTGACACTTTACTTTAAGTTCTTCCCTGTTAAAATATTTAGGAATTGTCACCTTTTTATAAGAAGTAATTATACATCTGGTAGAAAATCCTTCAACAAGTTACTGCTAACTAGGAGTATCATTAAATTAAGTCAATAGTTTTTTACTCATAGATGTATAAAAATAATACCAATGTACATTGATGTATATGTTCTTCATCAAGGGTAATTGTGAAGAAATAGTTTTTTTTTATTACCGTTTGACAGACGTTTGTTGATTCCCGGCGAGTTGAGTCGGCGAAACTCCGAATTTTTATTTAGTTTTTTAAGTTTTAATTCGTCAGCGAAAATGTCGAATGTTATTGCAATTGACGTTGAACCCTCAGACAAAGTAATCATCAACACCAAAATAAATGGTAACAAAATTACATTATAGTTTTGTTTTTAATTTTATTTTAGATTTTATGAATTATTTATTAGACATTAATTCTAACAATTAATGCAGGTATAGAAAAAATTAATTACAGTCTGTTTAATGAGATAAATGATATAATTTTTTTCATTGGACTATTAGCAATTTATCTAGCAAGTAGTTTTGTATTACGTAAATTTTTTTTATCAGAAAAATATTGTTTTTTCTTTAAACGGGTAAATTATTAGAAAAAAAAATATTTTTACAAAATTGTACTTGAAATTTTTTTTTAATTTCTGGTACTTTTTTTTTAGTGTCAGGTGACTTCAACTTAACTGTAAATTACAATTAATTAAATTAATTTTCAACGATTAAAATATTATATTAGTCATAACTATTATTACAACTTATTTAGGATGTAATTGGGAAGATCTACGTTTTATTCCTGGCTTGGTTATATTTTTTTAACATGATATTCGGTGTCAATAGCTAAAATACCTAAATAACTTATTAAATATAATATTATCTTAAAAGTAATAGACATTTGACAATTTTTGGAGCTGTTTTTTTTTTATGGAACTCAAGTTAGCAGACACCGGTCATGTTTTTTTAAACTTTTACAACAAATAAATTACTATTATAATATTTTGTTTCTTAAAAAAAATTTTTAAAAGCCATTAAATGTCAGCTAACTTCTAAAACTCTAATGAAAATTAATTTAGCATATATTTAAGGATTTTAAGTCAAGAATTTCATAACAAATAAATAATGGCAAATAAAATTAATGAGAAGAAATTTAAAAAAATAAAAAATACAATTTTTTAAGAATTTTTTGGAACAAATTTTCTTGTTCAATAAAATTAAAAAATTTTTAAGTGATTGCTAATTTTAATATAAAATTCCAAGGTATAAAGTACAATTTTTTTCAAAAAAATTTATTTCTTAAAATCAACCAAAAATTTGACAGCTGTCAGCTGATTTCAAAATCACTATTTCTTAACAATTGACTTTAGCTGTAGTTATTAAATTAATAATAAATTATTAACAAATCACAGTTTATTACAAAAAAATTTCCGCAAAAAAAAGTTTATTACTCTATCTAATAACACAATGCCTCGAAAGCGCCAACTGTCATCCGGTAGCAATATTAAATTACATAAAACTAAAATAATAACAATTAGCATTTGCATAAACTCGTGAATTACATGTATGAGGATTGTAATGAAACGAGAAAGTAAACTCCAGTGAAAACGACCGTATAAATTATTATTTTATTTTATTTTTCATTATTTCAAATTTCAAACAATATGAGTGAAAGTAAAATTACACACGATACTAGTGCGACCTCGTGGTGTGTTTTAGAAATATCTCACTCTGTCACACATATAAATACATGTATACAAGTATATATGTATTTAGTGGGAGAACTCCTACTCTTTAATTTCCACCAATAAAAATATAAATTATTTCTAAATATATATATATATATATATATATATATATATATATATATATATATATATA